CCAAGCGGGGCTTCCTAAATTCGGTCTGACCTACGAGGCCCCGCTTCCTGTGCACCAAAGATCAGTGGGGGGGATGATGATCTGTTGCACAATCTTTCGGCAGGTCAATGTGGTCACACTCTGAAACTGGCAATGACCACGTTTCAAAGGTCCTCGCAACAGGTTCGATGAAGTACTTGCAGCCCATCACCAAATTGAGCTAGGAAATGCTAGGATGTCTTGTTCATCAAGAGACGCAGCTTCTGTACACCCCTGCGACCATGCCTTCAGTTGGAAGAGGGCATTCATTGACCACTGAGGTATCACCTTTACCTCAGTGCCCAGCAATGCCGTTCTCCAACCCTCGACTGACACCATTTAGCACCTCTCAACGTGGCAGGTGTCCAGTCCTGTGCATCAGTTAAGCTGCAATCAGCTATCTCTTCCCAGCATCATCCCCTACTCCAGCGACTTACCACATTGCAAGCACTTGTGAAAGGGAGGACCATGCACAGTCCCACCGTGTGGTACCAAGGTGCTCCTCCAATAATGCCCACCGTGGCGGCCGAGGTCAGCCCTGCCAACCAAGTGAGATTCACCTGCAGGGCTTCGATTCTGCCATGCTCATCGCTTTTTGGGGTGCGATTTTGACTGCAGGTGGATGGCTCGGACCGGTGGTACTGCTTTGACTGAAGACCTCCATGGAAGGTTCTACCATGTTCTACCAATCTCCTAACCATCCTTGAAAGGTTCTAATGAAGGTTCTATGTGCTTCTACCACAAAGAAAAACTGCATGCAATGTTCGGCTGGTGAGATCGTTCCCCTGAACAAAAGGTCCGGTCAGAAGCTTCGTTGACACCGGCCTGGAAGACCAGCACAAAAATACAACCCAAGAACATCAGCTGTAGCCCCGTGGGGCTCTCGTCCAGAAGTGCTTCCCACCAAGAGTCGTGCTCGGAGCTGCCGTGCTCACACAGCATCGCAAAAGCCAGGGCGGTGATGGAACTCAAAGCCAGCCTTAAAGAACGGGCCTACTCACGAAGAAATACAGTAGCATGACTAATGGCGTGATGGCAAGTGTCTCAATAATGTAAGCCGGGCTTATGGGTGTGCTGATTGACCTCACCAACACACCATGTGCAAGATTCGTGTCTGGTGGATGACATCGATTGTGACAAGTCATACAGTAGACGGTTGGCACATCGAGAAAACACAAACCGATGGGCTTTCACGCTCCCTGACCACAAGTTGACCAAGTGCATCCCTCAACATCAGCCTGCACAAACACGCACTGCCCAGCTTCCCTCTCTGATAGGATCAGCAAACCAGGAGAAACATCATGGTCCCTACTTCTGGTCAATTGCATTGAAGCTGGCTCCTTGAGCTGTGCCAGTATTGCCTTCAAACTTTGTCAGGTTACTGCCTCTGCTGGACCATCCTTTCTTGCATCTGTTATGTACTTCACTTCACCATTGAGATGCACTATTATTCGCTGGGTGCTGCGTAGACAATTTCAGAAGCAAAAACAAGCTTGTCATACTTGTTTGCACAATCATGTTAATTTGTGAGGCATTGAATCCATGGTCTGCAACCGAGCTGCTTGAGACATGTAAATTCCTCGCATTGTGTGAGCATGCCAAAGCAAGAAAGACCAAGTCAAAGCAAGAAAGACCCTGTAACATCACTCCGAGGTGCAGCGGGGAATTCGAAACAAAATGCAGCGCACGAGCATCAAGGCCCCAAAGAAAAATAACGAACCTCTTGGGATAGAATGTCTCAAGTCCTGTCACGAACACCCCTGAACAGCTGGGCTGCCAACAATCTTCAGTAGCACCAAGAGGGAAAACATCCAAAAACTCCCCAAGACGACAAAGCAGCTTTGCTGAAGAGATAGCTCTCCGACCAAAAACATCCTTATCATCCATCCCGTCAAACTGACAAGCCTACACCCCCTTCAGGTCATGAAGACATGTCTCAAACTAGCACACCCCTGAAAGAGTTGCCATTCAGGCGAGAGGATCATAGGTACTAGTAATTAGCCTATTCTAGATTCCAATACGTGGATCATACAAGATACATCAAGTTACCGGGCGACGGGGGCTATTCGGCTCAAGTACAGTCGGTGTGATGCTGCCCTCCAGGCGGTTATCCAGCCGGAAGAGCTCGGACGCGCCCGTGCGCAGGGTTGAGACACAAAGCGCCAAAAGGAAGGGCGGCAGCAAATTGACCTTGCAATCTAAAAGAACATGGAAAACAAATTTAAAACAGGTGAAATAATTGGTGGATGTTGTTTAGAAGTCCACCATGAACGTCCAAAAATGATGCAAATCATGGAAGATCACCATCAACATCCATCAACGCAACCCTTCAACAGCTGGCAAGCAGACTTGGACGTGATGATAGTCCACTGATTTTGGGGGGAGCCAGTGCCAGTGCTTGGCTTCTTTTCGACAACTGGACTTACTTGACGTCGTCTTGACATACTTGAGCTTTTGTTGCTATCAGACCAAAATGAAGGGCCGCAATCCTCACGCTTCTCTGCTGGCGGTTCCCAACGTCATGTTTCGTGATCCGCCGGATTGAGCCGTTGTACCTTCACTTGGTCAACGCTGAGGAGCAGCTCAGGAGCAGGTGCAAATATCAACACCTTCTAAAGCTTCTAAAGTTGAAAGCGGGGTTGCCGGCATGGAGGGGCTGGTCAATAGTCCAGGTTCTCAATTCAACGGCGAGCGCTGAGTGCTCGAAAGTGACGCCATCTGAAGATTTGCCAGGATTTCTTGGCGTGCCCGTCTGCATTTCTATCTGCTCCATCTATCTGGGAAGGGACCAACTAATCAATATGGACGTCAAACAGGATGGAAGGCTCTGTGCACCGTGCAGTCGTCTGAGTGAAGCGCAGAACTGACATAAAAGCACTGAAAGCAGGCCTTGCCATTACAGTGTCATTCATTGCTACTCAGAGCTACTATACTGTACCCGAAAAGCGATTGAATGATTCATTGAATTCCATCCAAAGCTAACAGGTGCTTTTTGGATTCATGGGCATGGGCCACATGGGTCTTTAAATGGACAAACAACGAACGCAAACAACGCAACACAGTGACCAATCTGAGGCCATTGCCAGAAGTGGAATGAATGGAGCTTCCAGCGTATGCACTGCATGAAGTCCGATCAAACATGACCCTGTGCCGCAGGAAGGTGTGTGGGGGTTGAACTGTTACCTGGTTTTATGACACCATGGGGGTCATCGCCAAAGAATGCCAGAAACGGTCAGTCGAAAAAGAACTGCGAAGCACCTCTCAGCCATGCCGGGATCAAAATGGACTCCAGGCCCATTGCGAGTGCAAACTTGAAGAGTGTAGAAGAACCACCATCCATCAGTGCCGTGGTTGACAAAGAAGTATGGAACCTTTATATACGGACTGGACTGGCTCTGGGTGTGGTGAAACCCTAAACTTTGCACCAGCACAGCATCAAAGTCGGGGAGTTGACCAACCCGAGTTGGCCTCCGAGCTGTTGGAAGGTGCTCTCGTGCCTTGATTAGTTAACCAACCCGAGACCGCTTCGGGGAGTATAGTGGCTAGTGATGTTCAATTTGCCGACTAGGAGCAAGGACGCTACTAGGGGCTCCTGGCCTTACTACTAGGAACAAGGACGCTACTAGTAGCAAAGGGCATCGCTACTAGGAGCAAGAAGCTACACACCAGCCGTGCATGGCCTGCAGCCGACAGCACTGCTGCGAGCACTTCCACGAGCCCAATGTCCTGCGCAGTGCAGAAACACAGCCTGAAGCACCTCAGCCCTATGGCCACATTGCTATTTCTGTAAATTAAATAGTTTAATAGTTAATTATATTTACATTTACATGCTACCGTAATATTACATACACCTCCACTTTTTATTATACTATATGTCTACTGCAGAGTTTCATGTTGTTCAATGGATGTCATTTCAAGACGGAGGGTCAAAGTTCGATGATTCCAAAGCTCTTCAACATGAAGCTTCTCCAAAGCCAATTGACACTAATGCAAGGGAAGACAAATTCTGCACAGGCAACTGCACTTCTAGAGTGATTGGTGAGCCTTCGAACGCAGAAAATATGAAGTATGCCCAATGGCCAGCGAAGTCCCGAATGATAGAGGCCAAGTTGCCAAACCAAACAATTTGACGAGTCTTTGGTGGCTAGGCCCCTTGGTGGATAGCTTGGCGGACTAAGAAGGTTGGTTTGTCCAGTGTTATGCGGAGCTGAACGGGACTGCTCGATCACCACAAGTCACAGGTTGCAAAAAAAACGGACAATGGAGCTGAAGGGGCCGCTTGCGTGAGGGGCGACTACCCGAGTGCGGCAGAGAGGGTGGAAACGGGTTGGCACGTACATCATCGCGCTTCGTGCTTGACTGGAACCGGCAATCGGAGCATGGCAAGGTCCGAACAAACACGGATAGTACTATATTCTTATTCTGGTCGATTGCAAACACCTTCACTCTGCCCCGCTGAAGGAACAGTCCGGCAGTCTACAAGTTGGTCGCCGTGCTGCTGCAAATATTTTCAATTATCCAGGCACTGTCCTCATGGTTGACCACGGCAGCCAACAAGATTGTCCATATCACATCTGTGGACTGGAGGAGGAGGTGAATACCTGAGAGTAAAATCACAGAATCCATCGACAAGAGGGTGACACTCCCCAATAGGAAGATGGAACCACCGCTTTACATGCTGGTCATGTGCAGTTCCGATGTCAACGCATTCGTCTTGCACGGGTATGCTGTAGAGCGGATGCGGTCGAAAGCCCTTCATTGATGGACAGAACGGGCCAAATTGTCTACTGCAACTGACTACGAAACTATGTTGCAAACACAGATCTCATTGACCAGTTACCACATGTTTGCAATACCATCCAGCATGTTTCGCACATGTTTTCCATGACCAAACACCAAAGAGAATCCAGAGACTTCCGCCTCTGATGGTCTTCCTTGAAATTCCAATTTCACAAGGTTCCTCCTTCGATGAGAATAAATCCCTACATTCCTCTCTTGTCACACAAGCGGCCCACAGGCACCAGCTGCAAACCCCAGTTGGTGATGCCATACTTCAGCCCAAATAGAATACCCACAGGGGCCACCTCGGATGAAACGGGCCAGCACCCAAACTTGGAACATCAAGTAACAGGGTAATGGCCTGTGCATCAGAGCCTGTTGCATCAAATCAATGCGAGCTGTGACGTGAGCTGCCATCTATTTTTGCTAAAGTCACTATCCAAGATTGCAAGTAGTGGGACTTGGGGGCGATATCACTTTGCCTCTTCACTCATAGTTTCAAGATTCTGCCAAAAACTCCTGCAGCATGTGAGTCCACGGGTCTATATAGCTTGAATATCCTTCACGGGTAGCTTTGGTAATAATTCACACATGTACTATACCTATAGTTAATTACTTATACAATATATTACAGTATATGATGTTGTATGTCGCTTTCCAACTGTTTCCCTGACATTCATTCACAGAGTCCTTTCAGCAAGGAAATTTTGGAAATTTGCGACTACACTTGACTGGCCCCACTGAACCGCCTTCGAAAGAAAAAAAGATTTCGCCTTTTTTCTCCAGGATTGTGCATCTATTTGTAAACTGTCCCTCCCTTTCAGCATCCCTGTACGGCCCTTTATTCGTTTGCTCTCCACAATACTTGGTTCAACCCAAAGGGCTAGATGGCGGTATCTCCCAGTCTGACTTCATCTGGCTTCGCTACTCCAAGCCGTTGGAACTCCGCAACTCCGTTGCAAACACCGAAAGGCGTCCAGAGGTTCAACATGGGTTGCATGGTCTGCATAGTTCGTCAAAGGTTCAAGAGAATCACAACAGTAACATGCCATAGCTTAGCATCTCTCAATTCTGCGAGCTCAGAAACTGATCCCTCAAACCAAACAAATGACAGGCCACGTGTCTCAGTTTGTATGCGAAATGCGGCCCGAAGATCCAGGAGTGATTCCTGGGGCACACTGATCTGGGCCCTGCAGGACCCATATCTCCATATCACTCCATAGCACCACTGTAGCATGCGGTGTGCATAGTTGAACAAAAAAGGATGTCACCGTGAGTGCAAAAGAACATCAATTGATATCAAATATCAATTACAGTAACATTGAAATCTATTTGATCAGTGCAATACTGAGACAATAAACTTCACATCAGAACTTCCAGCAACACTCATGGCTGATGTAACATGCTGTGAAGGCTGGACAAGTCAACACTAACATATGTGTGTGTGTGTGAGAATCCCATTCTCCCCTGGGAAAAGGATAATGAACAAACTCATTTTTTGTGGGACTCCTATCTTAAGATACATACAGTGTTCTTTTCCATGTGGTCCATCAGTGCTCGTGCTCGCCATTCTAGCTTCTCATCAGAGCGCAGCTGAGTCTCCGGTCGCAGCAGAAGTGTCCAACGGTGTTCACTACGGCCAGAACTAGTGAGACTACACCCAATTGGAGAAAGGCAGTGGCGATGGGATATGGATATTTGTGCAAAGATCCAGCTCGGGTATAAACACCTTGGGCAAAGACCAGCTTGTTGTAGATGGGCACCTGATAGCGCTTGAGATCTCGAGAAATCGACCCTGAAACGGTGAAAGCAAGTTGCATGGTCTGTTGGAGGCCAAAAATGCTGTTTCTGGTGTGTCACTCCCAAACAATTACAGCGATCTCTCGCACCAAAAGATTCCCGTATGTGCCCTGTTGAAGTCGCTGTCTCAAATGCTGCCATGAATTGAGCACAACAACCAAGCATGTACCAACAAACAGCTCTTGAAAACAATATGCATGTGATCCATTGACAGTGCTTCAGGCCCCATATATATTGCCAAAGCACGGCAGACACAGAGAGGCAGAAAATCAAGGTGGCCTGGGATCGGCAGTGGCAGTGGTAGATCCTGTTCCGATGCTCGTAACAAATGTTGGTAACGGGCTTCAAGGGAAGGAGGATCCTGGGAGACAGCTGAGGATTCTCCAGGTATTAAATCCTACTAGATTCTTGTTACTACTAGTAAGGCCAGGAGCCCCTAGTTGCTTCTTGCTCCTAGTGGTAATACTCAACAACTGCAACGCCGTGTGTGAACACACACTTTCAGCTGAT